CCTTCCATCTCAGCCTTCCAAGTAGCTGGAACTACAGGTATGCGTCACCACGTCTGGCTAATTTTTTGACTTACTGTAAAGACGAGGTCTTGCCAAGTTGCCCAGGTTGGTCTTGAACCCCGGGACTCAGGCAATCCTCTCACCTTGGCCTCCCGAAGTGCTGGGATTACAAGCTTGAGTCACCATGCCCATCCCTACATGCTATTTTTTAGGTAAGGAGGAAGGAATTTTTTAAATGGCAGTTATAATTTCCTATAAACTGCATGCAGAACATCATCTTATTTATTGATTGACTCCATTGCCCAGGCTGGAACACAGTGGCATTACTATAGTTTACCACAGCCTCAGCCTCCTGGCTCAGGAGATTCTTACATTTCAACCTTCTGAGTAGCTGGGACTACAGGTGTGTGTCACCATGTGGGTAATTTTAAAAATTTGTGTAGGGACAAGTCTCACAATGTTGCCTAGGCTAATCTCAAACTCCTGGGCTCAGGCAATCCTCTTGCCTCAGCCTCCCAAAGTGCTGAGATTAGAAGCATGAGACCCTGTGCCTGGTCTCTTATGTTTTAAACTGTTGCATAGTATTCCATCACAGATGCCCTACAGTCATCTAACCATTCCTTTACTGATAGTCATTTGCGTTGCTCCCAATTTCTGCAGGCAAGGAAACTAAAGCTTGAAAGACTGAGTAGCTCACAAAGTAACATGTACATGGCAGAGATTTCTATAAAAGTGCAAAATATCAGAGACCATACTTAAGAAATATTTTTATTGTGAAATATCTTAAGCACAGTTAAAAAGAACCCACCACACTGTCCTGTTAAGTCTTAACATTCTGATGCATCTGCATTAACTTTTAGAAAAAAGAAAACACAACTGAAGGTCCCACATGCCCTCCCTGGTACCATCAGCCTCTCCTGCCCTGAGCAGGGCAGAGAGTGATGTGCACACAACATTTCAACACAAGATTTTACACTCTTCATATCATTTGAATCCACCAAAAATATATGATTGTGCAAAACAGTAACAACACTTTCTAGTATATACCAACAGTACTTACATGCCAGACAGTATTCTAAGTATTTTACATGCATTATTTCATCGACAGCCCCCTCACTCCCAATCACCCTGTGAGATTGGTATTATTATCCCATTTACAGAAAGCTATCACAAACAAATTGAAATAATGTGCCCAGACATACAGTATACTTAACTTTACATAAACAATATCTTGTATGTAGCTTCTGCAACTTTCTCAGCATCTCTACTTGTGTATCTGTGTTGAGAGATGTTACTCTCTTTCATATTCACTTTCCCAAGTACCCAAACAACCTGTTTATTTATATCTGTTTTTCCCTTGATGAAATGCAGTCTTTTCCCAATTGGGCTACCTACACAATACTGCAATAAACAATCTTAAATTCACTTCTTGGTTCACATGGTGCCCCTCTAAGATGTAACCAGGAGTGAACTTGCTGGCAAAGAGTCCACACAGCTTTATAAGATTTTGCAAATTGCTCAATAAGGCATTTGTCACAATTTCCACTACCAAAGCAGTGTGAATTTCTGTTGTTCCACACATTTATCCACAACTGGGCTTTCAACAATCTGGCAGCTTGATGAGTGTAAGCTGGTCTGTATTATTTTGCATTTCCCATGCTTTCTCCTCTACACACCTCTGTCTGGTCTGACAGTCTCTGTCAGCGAGGATGGTGCTGACCACACTGAACAGGTGACAGAAAGACCTTTCGATTCCCACTTCTCTCTGCATTAGCCCATCTAGCTCTCCCCAAACCCAACTTCAATGCCTCCAAGGGAGTGGGAAGGTGGGCAAGGTTGGAAGATGCCTGCATGTTCTCCAGGTCAGGTTGGGCTACAAGATGAGAACTGGTACCTGGGGCTATCAGAAACTGTCAACTGGAGTCATTACAGCTCAGAACCACCCAGGGCTGGGTTCCTAACCAGCAGGTATGTGCTTGTGGTATGGCTTCCAGTCAACATTTCACTCAAGGGCCCCTTCAAAAGTCCCCAATCCTGACTTAGCTGAACTAAATTCAGTTACAGATCCCTTAAAAAGTAGTTTTGTGCAAAATCTCTTCTACATAGCAAACAAATAAATAAGCAGCCAACCCTGACCTGCAGAGTGTTTGGTCTGGCTGCAGTGATGGGCATAACCAGAAACCCAGACACCATCTAACACAATCAGATACAGGCCCCAGGAGAGGTGGGGCCAGGGCCTAGATGGATAAGGATGGGCAAAGTCAGGCTTTTAAGCGCGAAGACCTGGACCAACAGACAGCACTGTGCCACTCCAGATGAAGGAGATGGCACACAGCTAGACAGTCCAGGGCTCAGGGAGGGGCAATGAAGTCAAATCCAACACTAATTACACTAAAATGTTTAGTAGTTATCACCAAGTATCCAATTTTTGCCTCTTTTCCCTTTTAGCTAATTGGTATATACTAATATTTCTAATAATTACATATTATAGAACTAAGATTATTTGAAAACTCAAGTTATTGAACAGACTACATCAGTAAAATCCCAAAATATTAATGGCTTGCTTCACTATGGAGGAATTTTTTACTTCATTCTTTGTATATTTTTTAAGTGGAATGTTTAAAAATAAGTATATTTCATTTTATTAAAATGGCAAAAACACCCCTACTGGGGCAGGAACTTTATGAGGTGCCAAGGGACAAAAGGAGTGGGAGCTGAAGATATGGACAGAAAGGGGTGTTTCCGTGGTTACAGCACCAACTAACGTGGGAGATGCATCTCTGTGAGGGTCCTGGTCTTCACAGATCTTTAGACCAAACCGTCTTTCACCAATCCCAGGAGTCAGGCAGCACAACTAGGTACTCTAATTTCACATACAAGGAAATTGATGCAGAGGTTTGATGACTTGCCCAAGATAATTCTGCCAAAAAAAGGCACAATGAGCCTGGAGTGCAGATCTGAAAGTCCAAGGTGCTTCCCATAACCGTGGGCCCTAGGCACATGGGACTCTGGCCTCTGCCCAGCCACTTCTAGTGTCAGCTTTGGAAGCTGTGCCAGTGAGGGGGCCAAATACCACACCACAGGCAGCTACTGCAGCAGGAAGGCAGGAGGACGGCAGAGCCAGGATGACCATACCTTCCTGAGCATAAGGCTGAATAGGCAGCAGAACACCAATGGAAGATGCCTGTTCCATCCCCCACTAGCCCATGTGATGCCACCACATGGTATCAGAGCCTTCATTTCCACATGCCCATGGCAACCCAGAGAGGATAAGACTGCCCTGTACTCTACTGAAAAAGATATCTTCCAGCCTGATTCTACTCAATAAGCCACCAACTCCATGACTGGTAAAATGCAGTCTGAGATGTTGCTCTATTACTGAGTTAGACATTTTATTCTTACATTTATAAACTGAGCTCTTCAATAATCAGAAGTAAGTAATATCACTTTAGTAAGTAAGTAATATTACTTTAGTAATATCACTCCTTTGTCACTGAAATGACCCTTGAGTTTTGCTCCAACCCAAAGGGGTGGAAGGGGGCTTCCTCTCCCACCAGGCCACCTTTTCTCCTCAGGGCAGCAGGCACGTGCACTGGCACCTTTGGGTTGAACCCGAAGCTAGCACCAGGCATCTCACAGAAAGACGGCTATGTGAAGGTGAGAGGGTGCCTGCAGTGTGTAGAGGCCAGAGACGCAAACAATGGTGTTTACAGCTGCTGAGGACTGAAGAACCTATAGGAAATCCGGAAATGGGGGGAGAAAAGGAGTCCCATTCACAGGACTCAGCAGAGACAACTGCACCAAAGACCCTTCAGCCACATCATTTTACTGAGTCCTTAGGTCTGTGGCTAACTCTTAAAAAATGTATTTTAGATTCAGATCACATCATTTCTCAACTCAAAACTGTCTAAAAGCTTCCTAACTCCCTCTGAGGCTGACCAAGCCCCCCTGATGACCCGATGCTCATATGGCCTTGTTCACTTCACATAGTTCTGGCCCCCTCTCCTCTTCGAGCTGGCTCGCTTCACTCTATCCCAGATGCCTCCTTGCTATTCCCTGAGGACACCAGGTAAGACCCTATCTCCTCTGCCTGCAACTCTCCCTAGAGATCTACATGGCTCACTCCCTGACCTTTGCGTCTTTGCTCAAATTTCACCTCCTCAGCTGAGACCCTCCCTGACCAAACGATTTCCCAATCACAAACCATCTCCCAACCCAGCACTCCTTCTCATCCTCTCTGATTTACTCTGTCCACAACACATATCACCAACCAGAATGTTATATATTCCATTTGTTTATCATCTATAAAGATCCAAGATTGCAGGATTTTAGTCTGTTCCAGTCACTGCTGCGTCTCTGGCACACCTAGCACATAGCAGGTGCTTAGCATAGTTCTGGTGAACAGATGGACTGCTGCCAGTGCACAGCAGTGGGATGGAGACAGCAGTGTAATACTGGTGGAGCTCCACCCTGCTCACCCCCACCTGCTGCAGAGATTCTAACCCTCTAGCCAAGATCCAAAAGCCCCCTAGGAAGGCTGACACCACAGCCAGAACTTCTCAGGGGACATCTGGGAAGGCTAAGAGTACTTAATGCTGCTGCTGCTTCTAAAGTCAACAGAATAGATAGCACCACAGTCCACACACCTAGGATCCAACCGGCCCCATTCTAGCAGGCACAGCCCACAATGCCACATTTTGTCCAACCACAAAAAGCAATGGTCTGAGTTGTTGAGGAAACTTGGCGGGGGGAGATCCAGGTTATGGCACAAAGGCCACTCCTAGGGGCTGGGGTCTCCGGAAGAGCTCCAAAGAACACGCTGCTGCTCTTCCTCAGTCTGACTTTCCACTGGGTAGGCTGAGGACTCCCCAGGCTTTTAAATCCTCAGGATTCTCTGTCACTAGCTTCCAAAATTGAAAAGGCTGGGGCCTTGGTCAAAGTTTTGCCCACACTGCCTACAATTAAGGGTTCTCTAGCAGGGTTCCTGGGAAACACTCTTCCCCCACCCCTACTGTCATTGTCAGGTCCCAGTCTAATCTTTAATATGGTTTTTCATATGCCGAGCCAAATTTGAAGACCATCTGAAGGTCTTCCCACACTGGCTGCATTTGAAGGGCCTCTCTCGAGTATGAAATCTCTTGTGGCTAATGAGTTGCGAACTCTTGTTGAAAGTTTTCCCACATAAACTACAGTTGTGACACTTTTCCTTAGTGGGTATGTTCTGGAATATGTTCTGGAATCCAGTGAGCCTGGACCTCTGATCACAAACTTCTTTGCAGTCTTCGAGGGGCTTCTCTTCAGTTGGTTTTAATTCCTGTAAACTCAACCTTGTGTCCTGACAGGAAGACAACTCAGGCACGATGCAGTTGGACTGTGCTACTCTAGTATGTTTTCTCTGATGACGAGAAAGGGTGTGACTCCCAGTGAACTCTTTCTCACACCACTGACATTTAAAGGGTCTCTCTTTAGTGTGGATTCTCTGATGATTAACCAGGCGATAATTTCTGTCGTAAGATTTCCCACAGAGATTACACTTATAGCGCTTTTCTCCAGTGTGTATTCCTTTATGATCTAAAAGACTTCTTTTACGTGTAAAAGTTTTCCCACATTCTTGACACCAAAACCGTTTCACACTAGTGGGGATTGGGGGCTCCAGAGTTCGAGCCTTTTCACTTTCATGATACTTGTATGGGTTTTGAAAAGAGTGAAGCCTCTGATGTCGGGAGAGATTGGAACTCCATCTGAAGGCTTTCCCACAATCCCTGCACTTATACGGCTTCTCTCTTGTGTGAACTCTCTGATGGATAAGGAGGAATGAGTGATTGCGGAAGGTTTTGCCACAATGGCTACATTTGTAGGATTCCTCTCTGGTGTGGCTGCTCTGAGGAACTTGAACTGCTCTGTCCTGACTGAAAGATGGCCCACCCTCAGGTTTTCTTTTAATAGCATGCTTCTTCTTATGCACAATTAAGGCTGACCTATAGGTAAACTCTTTTCCACATTCACTACATTGGTAGGGTTTCTCACCTGTGTGAATTCTCTGGTGATCATTAAGGGTTTTCTTTCGAGTAAAAGTTTTTCCACACTGATGACACAAAAAAGTTTTCTCCACAGGGGGGACATCCTGGGGCTGAATGCAGTGAGGAGTCTGCCTGAAGTCTTCTCGATGTTTATCTTGTTCAGAGAACTTTTTCTCCTTGTGCAACCTTATATGACGAGTGAAGTTTGACCTCCATCTAAAGGCTTTCCCACATTTGGTACATTTATAGGGTTTCTCCTGGGTGTGAATCCTTTGATGTTCAAGAACATATGCTTTACAGTGGAAGGATTTCCTACATTGGCTGCAGTCAAAGAGCTTCTCCCCACTTTGGTCTCCCAAATGATGATCAAACTCTGAGCTGGAGCTGAGAGCTTCCTCATACTGATTCAATTCAAGAAATTTCTTTTTAGCATGGGTTTCTTGGTGCAGACGGTAGGCTGACACACGTCGGAAAGCTTTCTCACATAAACCACACTTATAAGGTTTCACTCCAGTGTGAATTTTCTCATGTCGCACACAGTTGGAACTCCACCGGAAGGCTTTCCCACACACTCTACATTTAAATGCTTTATCTTGAGTATGAAGTCTCTGATGATATGCAAGATGGGAGCTGCGACTGAAAGTCCTACCACAGTCGCTGCACTTATACAGGGTTCCTATTGTGTGAAGACTCGGCCCATGCTGGTGATGAGAGTTAAGGCTGAAATCTTTTCCACACATGTCCTTTTTATTCCCTTTCAGTCCAGTATGAATTATCTGATGTAAGCTAAAGCCCCCGATCATGTGCCTGAGTCCCTTCCCATATTTCTTATAGTCATGGTGGTATGAACTAATTTTGAATTGTCTGCCACAGCCATGTTTAAGGGATTGTTTTCTTCCAGAAACTCTCAAATACGTAGCACGTTTTAGGTCAAGATTATTACTTCTTCCTGATACATCGGAGTCTTTTCCTGTCCTGTGACTGAAATCAGTCTCTTCTTTCTTAACTCTCATTAATATGGGGCCTCCACATTGATCCTTTAACCTGCTCTTCTGTTCAAAAGATTCTCTGAGCACCGGTCCCTCAGAAACACCTGTTGCAGGATATCCTGATGGCACAGCTAAGGTTCCCGCTTCTTCCAAAGGTTCCCAATTTAAGATGAACTTGTTTGTTTTAATCTGGATGTCACCTCCTGACAAAAAATAAAACACAAGAGAATGTACTCTTTTCTCATACTTGGAACTGCAGAAAGCACCAAGAAGCAATAAATGCCTGGGAGGTGAGGCTTCTGCCTCTCTTTACAAAATAGTCAAAGAAAAGGCAAAATGTGAAAGAGTATCCCAGATAACAGGGAAGGGAGTGGGAGAATAATGATGGGCACAGCGGCTAGAGATTTGCAAAAATCACATCCAGTAGGAAAAGAAAAAGGGTTGAAAAGAATGTGTTAAATTCTTCAGTGGGGAGAAGAATCATGACACTATAGAAAGGTACCCAAAAGCCAGGGGGTGGAGCTCTAAGGAGTGCCTGGTAGAAAGGACTGGAGACCAGCTTATCACAGAAGGAAGGACTAAGAACCAAGAAAAGATGAGGAACAGGAGTAGGACAAGTGCTCCTAAGAGCAGGATGGTGCCAGGGATTTAGCAGGAGTGCAGGCCAGAAGTGTAAAGGAGAATCAGTAAGTGGAAGAGTGAAGACATCCAACTGCAGGAATTTTTACTGAGAGGGTTGCTGGGAGAGGGGGAACAGGGCCAAAAATGAAAGGTCTTTTAAAGGCCCAACACCGTTAACAACACTGTTAAAGATCTTCCTTCTAGCAAACAATGGAGTAAGTCCCCAATGATGCACCTTATCTCAAGAAAGAGAAGAGGTAAACACAGGAGGAACAGGACCTGTTAGGTTCTCTAGACTTACCTGTAGGGGTAGAACCTGGATTTGCATTAGGCTGTGCTGCCTGGATGTTCAGGCCCCATGGTTCCCTTGCTTCCAACCAGGAGATAATAGCAGGTTTGGTGAATGGTCCTACTGCAGAAGAGAAGGAAATAGGAAGGGAAAGTAGTTTAATCACACAGAACTACTCTCCAGGGCCCTCTCAGCCTAAAGTCTTGGTAGGGAGGTGGGAAAGGCCAGGAAGGCAGGTAGAGGAAGTTAGGGAAGGAGGTTCAGAAAGTCATTTCTGATAGCTCTGAGCAGACAGAGATGAGAGGCTGAGAGAAGTTGCAGGCAACAGGATTTAGAATTCCTACATGGATTCCTACATTATATGCCTTGGACTAAAAACTTGAAACATATTACCTTTAATATTTGCAGTAACCTAGAATGGCATTTTCAAAAGAGGATAACAAAGTGCTAGACCAAGTTATCTAGTTAGTAGTTACAGAGCCAGGATGTAAACCCAGGGAAGGCCCCTTTCTATGCACCACAACAAAAACCTAGGAGGCAGAAGTCAAAGTGGCAAGAAGTATGGAGACATCAATGACTTACCCAGAGATGCTACGCTTCTATAATTCTCCAGCATCACATCCCTGTACAGGTTTCTCTGAGTTGAGTCCAGCCATTCCCACTCATCCTGAGAGAAGGTTACCTCCAAGTCCTTGAAAGTCATAGCCTCCTGAAAAAACACGGTGCCATAGACCTGGTCCATAGCTCCTAGCTTTCAGGAGGGGCAAGGGAATGAACTGGCTCTGAGTGAGTACAGGATACATCAGCAAAGATGAAAGAGAAGACCATCACCCAGCAGAAGAGCTCTGGCTCAAGGGCAATAGTCTGGTCTCTGGGACCTGGGTTTCTGGTTGTGAGGCTACCAGACAGAGAAACCCAGGAGGAGGGGAGCTATACTCCTCCATTAGGCAGCAAGGCTGGGGCATCAGGAAGGACCAAATGCCCTGTGACTCACCTGGGGCTGAACTGCCAGGTCTTCCGGGCACCCCTCTCTCTGGGAAAGGACAGGCACCTGAGCAGCAGGAGGATCTGAAGGAAAAGAAAATGCCATCAGGAAGTCGCCCAGCTCTGGATGCCCCACTGAGAAGCCTATTCTTCCTTCCTCATAGCGGAAGGATCCAAGAGTAGGCACAGACTGTCATTAAACACCCATCTCAGGCTGGGCACAGTGGCTCACGCCTATAATACCAGCCCTTTTAGGAGGCTGACATGAAAGGATCACTTGAGGCCAGGAGTTTGAGACCAGCCTGGGCAACACAGTGAGACTCCACCACTACAAGAACAAAAATACAATACCAAAAACACCCCTCACATGTCCTCAGCGCCTACTGGGGGCCAGGAAGAGGGTAGCACGGGGGCGTAACGGCAGGGGAGGTAGGAAGCCAGATATGGGTCACAGAAAGGGTGGAGAGAACACAGAGCTTAGGGCTAGGACAGAATTCCTATGAAAGGACAAATGGTGAAAAGACAACATTATAGGAAATTCAAGAGGTATGGCGTAAGTCTGGGGTCTTAGAGCCAGGCAGTGAGTACCAGATTGCCCAGCCAGGAAGTCACACACTCCTATTTCATAGGGAGGCTCCAGGTGGTCCCCCAGAGCAGAGCCGCTCCTGAGAGGTGTAGCAGAGGACTGTATCTGTGAAGATCGCAGGGCTCCTGTACCCATCCAATGCACATCTGGTCTCTGGGCAGGACCCGGGTCCTGAAGAAGAAAATGTTGTGAGAGGATCCTCGTGGGAATCAGAAAGCATACTCAGAGAGGAGGCATGGCCAATCTCTAAAGGACAGAGGCCACGGGATAGGCATGCCAGACCCTTTACTGTCTCGAGGCAGAGGAGAAAGGACAAGAAAGCCAGAGAGGCCCCTCCTACCCCTCAGCCTCCCTGGGCTCTAATAAGGGCCATGGGAGACTCTAGGCAGAAACAGATTCCAGTTCAATATAAGGAAGCACTTGGCAAGTCAGTAACAGCAATGCTGTCAATCCTCAGATGCTACAGTGACACCTTCCCGCTATCCTCTCAGCTCCCACCCCAGGCCTGAAACAGAAATGAGAGAGGAGTTAGTTCCTGAACATTAAACAGATAATGGTCCACAGCAGAGATACAGTCAAGTAATATCTACTGTCAAGCACTTACTCTAGGCACTAACACGCAAAGTGAACTCAAAGAAGCAGGCTAGCCCCCAGATTGTAAACCTAACTTCAACAGTAACATCATTAGAGAGGCAATGTTAACTATAAGGCTCAGTCATGGAGCCAGAGAAGAAAAAGTCTCTGGTGGGAAAATGGCAGCATCCATCCCAGCAGATACCAGGAAAGAGGAGGCCCTTTGACGCGGTATTTCAAATAGCTCTATTCTCTGAGGCAAGGCTGTCCCTAATGTAGAAATGAGTATAGGAAGCTAAAGCCAATGAACTTCAAGTTTTTCTGGCCCTGTGGCTAAAACAACCTCTTCACTGATAGGGACAAATCTTAGGCTGAGGCTATAAATCATCTGATATAGAGACACAGACTAAAGACGATGAATGAACCCAGTAATTTATCTCCTGTTTTTTATTCTTCTACTAAGAGAAGAATTAAAATATAATAAGAATATGGAAGCACAGCCAAACAAGCTTAAAGACAAACTTTCTCAGGACTAGTTTTTCACACTGGTAAGTTTGCTGAACCACAGGATGATTCTGTGACTTCATAAGCATCTTAAGCATTTCTGTTCATTTTTAGACTATGGGAGGTTTTCTCCCAGCCTCCAAAGTCATAAATCTGTAACTATTATGTAGCATATTTACTTGTATAAATTATTATTAGGTCCTTCTGAACATTTCATTGTTCTTGTTAAAAATGATAAATACTCATTTAAATTTTCAAAAATAGTACCAGTGCTGAACACAGATATTTTCTTTTTTTTTTATTATTCTTTTTGTTGTTGTTGTTGTTTGTTTGGTTTTTTTTTTTTGAGTTGGAGTCTCACTCGGTCGCCCAGACTGGAGTGCAGTGGCCGCTCCCGGCCACTGCAGCCTCAACTTGCTGGGCTTCGGTGATCCTTCCGACTCAGTCTTCCAAGTAGCCAGAATTACAGGCATGCACTGCCACGCCCAGCTAATTTTTTGATTTATTGTAGAGATGAGATCTCGCCTGCCCAGGCGGCTCAGGCAATCCACTCACCTCGGCCTCCCAAAGGCACAGGATTACAGGCTGAGCCACCGAGCCAATAACACAAGGAATTACTATTTTCTAATAGTAATTCCTTGTGTTATTACCATTTACTGCTGGTAGACCATGTTTGGATGCGTTGTTTGATTTAATTTGTATAAGTTTGGAGGACAAGTATGTCAAATTTGTTTCAGGAATCGTAATAGTTACTTTCATGTATGTATGAATTACATATGCAGAATCACACTTATTTTAATATAAATAAAATGTTAAAGAAGTCTAAAGAGTGAGAAATGCTCTGAAAAAAAAAAGACCTGAAATAAGACAGGCAGCATCAGGTCCCCAGTCCCCAGAAGGAGCAGGAAGAAGGCACTTTCACTGACCTGCACCACTCTACTGGGGGCCTGGGACTGTTGGCCCTGCCAGGGTCAGGCACACAAATATTTACTGAATAATGCACATGTTAGATCATTTCCCCATTTTCTTCTCAATATACAGAGGCTCTGAGGTACAACAACATGGACAAGGACACTGAGGTTGTGGAATGAAGTCTGGAATTGAGGTCTTCCTGTTTCCCAGCCCAGTACTGCAACTCAGCACTTGTATTCATGCCCCTCTATCGCCCATGGCACATACACTGAACAGATTCTCAAAGGCTTAACTGAGGAGCAAGTCGCATGGCACATGCAGAGCACAATTCTGGGTTTTCACATGTACTCTCCCACTCAGAAGCCAAGAATCCTGATCCTAAGTGCTGCTCCAACCTCCGCCACTTTACAGGGCAGTGACAGTCTTGAGCTAAATTAGATACTATGTGGAAATGGATTTTGTTTTGTTGGTTTGTTTGTTTTTTTTTGAGTTGGAGTCTTACTCTGTCGCCCAGGCTGGAGTGCAGTGGCAAGCTCCCGGCCACCACAGCCTCGACCTGCTGGGCTCCGCCAATCCTTCCGCCTCAGCCTTCTAAGTAGCCAGAACTACAGGCGCGAGCTACCATGCCCAGCTAATTTTTTGATTTATTGTACAGATGAGGTCCCACCATGTTGCCCAGGCTGGTACTGAACCCGCGGGCTTAGGGCAATCCTCTCTCCTTGGTCTCCCAAAGTGCTGGGATTAGAGGCTTGAGCCACCACGCCTGGCCGGAAATGGATTTTGTATACTGTAAGCTACTGTGTCCAAAGGTTAGTTACTGTTATTTATGGATACTTGCAGACCCTATCTGGAGCTAAGTTTCTCTGGGAAGGTGGGAAGGGCTAACTGCTAAAGGGTCCATGCTTGGGTGCCATGGAAATCAGAAGGAAAGGCTTTCTCTGCATTGCTTGGTGCTAACAGTTCAGAGGGCTGCCTTCACTCACAGACAAGCTGGCTCACCGGCAGGCAGAATTCACTGGACACCACACACTTGCTCATACTCACCCTCCATGGTATCCTGTCAAGGTCACTCTGTAGCTCCTCCAGCAAGGCCACAGCTTCCTCGCCACTCTCAGGGTGATGCAGCTGCACCCAGGTCCGGAGCTCCCCAGGCAGGATGCTCAGGAACTGCTCCAGCACCAGCAGCTCCAGGATCTGTGCCTTGGAGAGAACATCAGGCCTCAGCCACCATCGACAGAGTTCCTGGAGGCGGCTCAGAGTTTCCAGGGGCCCAGATGACTCATGGTAGCGAAGCTGTCTAAAGAGCTGGCGGAACAGCTCCTGGCCAGGACGGTTGAGTGTCTGTGGCCTGGCTGTCTGCACTGAAGTATAACCTTCATCCTCTTCTTCCTTCTTTACCACCCGAAGACGCGCGCGCTCCCTCGAAGACTGGGACTGTGCTGGATGAACAGCATACCACCTTCCTGGAGGCATCACTCCCCTTCAGGGCCTACCTTAGAAGAGCACAAACCAAATCTGCCTTAGCTGTGTTGCTGATGGGTCCTCAGGAGTATCTTCTCAGCATTGCAGTGAACAATGCCATTTGCCGGGACATCAGACATCACTAGCAAGAGACTGAAATAACCAACACTGCTGTTCAGGAAGGGATGAGAGAATGGTGTCCATCATACATCTGTTGACTGGGATCACCTTCAGATGTATGAGGAGAGGGCATACATGCTTGCATTTGTACACATGTACTTGCCAATATTGAGCAGACCAGGGTTAGATTGTTACCTACTGGGGTAAGCTAAGAAAATATCCTACAATACAATAAAACATGTACTAAACTTACATAAAAATTTTGTAAAACACACAAATGGTCGATGAAAAAAGTAAAAAGGGAACTAAATAAATAGACATATCACATTCATTCAGCAAGTTTTTTTAGTAGATATAGACAAGAATATTCTAAACTTTATGTGGAAAGGCAAAGGAATTAAAATTACTTTGAAAAATAAGAATACAGTGGGATGGGATGAATCAGTTTACCTGATTTCAAGACTTATAGCTATAGTAAACAAGACTGCGTTGTACTGATGGAGGAAAAGATACACAAGTCAATGGAACAGAATAGAAAAATTAGAAAAACCCACACAAATACACCAATTGATTTTTTCAACATCAAATATTGCTAATATTATAATATAGCACGTAAAAATATCCTAAGCAATTACAAAACAAAACAAAATGCTGACTGAGAATCCCCTAATTGATTTTATGACCCACCAATGGGTTAAAAATTACAGTTTGAAAACTACTAATTCACCGGGCCCAGAGGCTCAGCCTAATCCCACGCTTTGGGAGGCCGAGGTGAGTGAATTGCCTGAGTTCGTGGGTTCGAGACCTGCCTGGGCAACTTGGCGAAACCTCATCTCTACAATAAAATCAAAAATTAGCCGGGCACGGTAGCATGTGCCTGTAGTTCCAGCTACTTGGAAGGCTGAGGCGGAAGTATCGCCGGAGCCCAGCAGGTCAAGGCTGTGGTGGCCAGGAGTGGTCACTGCACTCCAGTCTGGGCGACAGAGTGAGACTCAACTCAAAAAAAAAAAAGAAAGAAAACTACTAATCCAGCTTCCTACTCAAGTCTTGTATTTCCTTTTAGAATGTATCATAACAGGGAGTGTCCAAGGGTTCAACCACTTTCAGGAGACAGCAGAGTTTAGCAAAAACAATAGAGAATGTGAACTAAGATAGTTCTTGGTTTCAAACACAGCTCCCCACTTTTTAGCTATATGACTACAGATACATCTTTTTCCCTCTAGAAATCACTGTGGCCTCACTGTATTAAATGAAGGTGAGTTGTGAGGTTTAAATAAGAAGCTACCTGGGATACATTTTGGGCTCTCAAGGAAATGTTTATTTCTCCATACCTGGAGAAGGAGCTTGTGCTACAAGCCACATCACTGTTTAGGCAACTTCTCCCTTGTGATATGCCCAACTGGTTGGTTGGTTTGTTTTTGAGTTGGAGTCTCATTCCGTCACCCAGGCTGGAGTGTAGTGGCACACTCACAACCACCCCAGCGTCAACCTGCTGGGATCAGGCGACCCTTCCACCTCAGCCTTCCAAGTATCTGGAACTACAGGCACGCACTACCACATATGGCTAATTTTTTTATTTTTTTATTGTAGAGATGAGGTCTTGCCAAGTTGCCCAGGCTGATCTTGAACCCATGGGCTCAGGTAATCTTCTCACCTTGGCCTCCCACAGTGCTGGGATTACAGGCTTGAGCCATCATGTCTGGCCTCAACTGGTTTTTAATAAGGTACCAAAGCCTGTAATTCCGTGCCTTTGGGAGACTGAGGTGAATGGATTGCCTGAGCCCGCGGGTTGGAGACCCGCCTGGACAATTTGGCGAGAACTCATCTCTACAATAAATAAAAAATTAGCCAGGCATGGTAGCGCGTGCCTGTAGTTCCAGCTACTTGGAAGGCTGAGGCGGAAGGATCACCAAAGCCTAGCAGGTCGTGGCTGAGCCACTACACTCCAGTCTGGGTGACAGAGTGAGACTCCAACTCAAAAAAAAAAGGTACAAAAGCAATTCAAATTAGGAAAGACAGTTTTCTCAACAAATGTTGCTGGAGTAATTAGGCAACCAAATGCAAAATAATGAAACTCAAACCTCACACCTTGTACACATGTCAATTCAAAATTAATCACAGACTTAAATGCAAATCAAGAAGCTATACAACTTTTAGTAGAAAACATAGGAGAAAACCTTTAGGATCTAGGATGAGGTTAAGTTCTCAGACTCGATAATACCTGTGATATTAGGACATACCTGTATGTAAACACTGGTTTTCATCCACAGGTCATGGTTCATAACTCCCATAGCCCTTGTTATTTCCTAAGTGACTAAAACAATAATCATACTGTGGTAGGGGGCTTTTTAGAAAACGCTTCAAAACATATATCATAGTTAGTGTTCCAGTTTGTTAATGCAAAACACTTGCTTGAAACTTACAAATAAAACTGCAAGCCCCTTCCGTATCACTGTCCCTGATGCAGCACACCACGCTGTGCTCAGCAACTGCAGCTAAAACTGCAAGCTTTTGCTGTTATTACAAAAGGTACTAAACTATCCACCATGGAAAGTTCCCTTCCCCCAATGCCAATGTAAAACATATAAAAGCTGAGGCCTGACTGCAAGTTGGGTCCAACCTTTGAGACTGGAGTCCAATGGGCTTAATGCCAGTGTTCCAGAAACAAACGCAGCTTCCTGCTTGCCAGCCTTGGTGTCTTGGTCTGATTTGTTTTCCCACAACATTTCTTGGTGCATTGGCCGGGATTAGAGAGTTTGGAGATGGTGTTTTCCACCTCCCTTGTCACAGGGGTGCAACCCTTGGGGCAACGGGAAAGGTAAACTCGCCTGGCACCAATGGACCAATTGATCCGTAGGGGAGAAGCTCTCCTGGCATGCTGGCACAAGGATCCTGAAAGCACAACAGAAACCAGTGAGGTGCAGAAACTAGTGTAAGGAGCAGCACCCAACAGAAAGGGTAGAAACTGGGTTTATAAGGGATAGATCTTAAGAGACAGAAGGGGAGCCTGATCAACTCCCAGAGTCTGCTAGTAGTCTCAAACCTGAAGGAAAGGGTTAGAAACAGTGGAAGAAAACACTGTCCCGAGACGAAACCATAGACTCCAAGGTACTGGGTGGAGGACTGGAGTTGCTGTGTGATTGTGTATGAATGAGACAGATAGTGGAAGAGTTCCAACCCAACCAAAGGGCTGAAGTGAGTGTTGAGTCCTGATCTGAGCCAGTGGCAACCTCATACAGCTGAAGGCTGCCCCAGCCCTGTAACAGGCTTGGTCCAGGTTGGGGGTTTATATCAACCCACCAACTGCTAAGAGGTGTCTGAAATATCTCTGTAAGGAATATGACTGGAAACGGACGGAGCAACTACCCTTCTTACCCCTTTTTCCTCTCTCTGTGTGTGACTGGTGTCCTTTAGGGGGAGGAAGATGGGTGGAACACAAAGAACACCTCCCTTGAATGCATATTAAAAAATTTTCACCAAGGTTACTCAGGAAGACTATGGTGTGAAACTGACTTGGAGAAAGCTCCGAACATTCTGTGAAATAGACTGGCCTTCTTCTGGGGTGGGATGGCCCACAGAAGGGTCACTAGATAAAAGGTTAACTGCTAAGGTATTTAGAATTGTCACAGGAAACCCAGGTCCTGGGCACCCTGATCAGTTCCCATACATTGACTGTTGGCAAGATGCAGTCTTTGCTCATCCATCTTGGCTAAAAGCTTGCTGGGAAGAAAATTGCAAAATTATGATGGCACTTAAGTCGGCCCCTTCCAAGTGCCTGCCCAATCCAAACAAGCTTGTTCTGGCTGACGAAATAGAAGGGATTCCTCCACCATACATGCCCTTATACAACCCCCACTGCCAACTGCACGTCCAGCTCCAACCAATGCCATGGCCCCACCACAGACAATGTGTGCACCAAAATCCAGTCTTTCTGCCCTGGAGCCTCCAACCTTAACCCCACACATACCACCCAGAAAATTGCCACAGGAGCCAACGATTGGCTTCTCCTCCAACAGATGTCCAAGTGCCCTCCAGATGCCACTAAGAGAGACCCAGGGACCCCTCTATTATGACCCAGATGGCCAAATCCAAGGGGGACAAAGCACGATCGTATATCAGCCATTTACCACCACTGATCTCTTGAACTGGAAAAATCACACACCACCATTTACTGAAAGGTCCCAGGCTATGATTGACCTGATGCAATCCATCATCTAGACCCAGAAACCAACTCGGGCAGATTGCCACCAGCAACTCCTGATGTTATTCAATACCAAGGAGCACCGGAGAATTATTCAGGAAGCCTTGAAATGGTTAGAAGAATATGCCCCGGCAGGAGCACTCAACGCATAGGCATATGCACAGAATCACTTCCCTGAAGAAGACTCTCAATGGGACCCCAACAGCAACCAGGGGTTACAGATGCTCAAGTGGTACCACAAAGCCCTCTTAGGAGGCATGAAGGAAAGAGGGAAAAAGGTCATGAACATGAGCAAAATCTCAGATGTGCTCCAAGGAACCAATGAGAGCCTGAGCCAATTCTATGAAAGACTCTGCAAGACCTTCAGACTGTACACTCCTTTCAACCCAAGCTGCTGGAGATTGATTCAATGAATGGTGAATGTAGCCTTTGTTGGACAAGCCCAAGGAGACATTCAACGCAAACGACAAAAGTTAGAGGGCTTCACTGGAATGAACACCAGTCAGCTACTGGAGATTGTGGCAAAAATGTTTGTCAACCGAGACTGGGAAACCCAACAAGAAGCAGATCAGAGACTGAAGAAAAAGGCCACTTTACTCATTGCAGCCTTGTCAGGATACCAGGTACCTGCCAAACACAGACAAGGCCGAGGCCAGAGTCAGGGAAGAGGCCAATCCAAAGGTCACCCAGAGATGATGCCAGGACCACACCAGGACATTAATGGGCCACCCTACTCTAACAAGAAACTGGGGGGAAAAAATCAA